CCAGAAACGGCGCCTGGGTATCGTTGCCGCCTCGTTTCCGCGCGCTCTCAAATAGCGAAATTGCGCTCTCCTTACACTGGCAAGAGCCGTTCTCGGAAGTAAGTGTACAGCTTGCCTCTAGCGCTGCGCATCGGGTTTGTGACAAGAGAATCGCAATTCGTCGCGCCAGTAGACCTCGCGTGCGACGTCACGCCCGCTGGCGCGGCGAAGAATAGACAATGTAAAATAGACATAAGTGTCCATCATGTCCTTGTCTACATGAAATCCGATGCTCCAATCGAAAAGGGTAGCGCAAATTAAGGGAACGTCGCGCCCATCGCCGCGCGCGATGAAGCGGCAATTGACAATCCTCTTGACCGCTTCCCCTCCGCATCATCAGCAGGGTCTTTTTTGCTCTCTTTCATATAATCTGTCAAATTTTCTTACCAGTAGCGGTATCCTCGACAAGACGAACAGTTTCAACCGGAGTGCTTCTTTATCAACAGTTCCTTCATACTCGACCAGATCATAAACTACATCGACAATCTCCTTCGCTTTAGTTAGAAGCTACCTTGTAGGAATCCGGATACACTGAAAAAAAGAGACTTTTACAGGAGAAAATACGTGCACTGAAGCTTTTAATAGCTTTTTTGAAAGCTTTTAACTAGCTGAACTTTGTCTTAGACAGGAATATGTTAATCAAGTTGTACTGCAATCAGGGTACGCTATGGCAAAAGAGTAAACTTGCCGCTCAGCACGACCACATATTTTCCCCATCACCGTCTCCCCCCAACCCGAGAATCCGAACTCATCCATCTCATTCTCGCGCTTACCACGTCCTCCCTGCTACTTCACAGAGAGGGTGACTCACAGACCGTGAGGGAGAGACCGCACTTTCCAAAAGTGCCCTTTTGCTACACAGTAGCCCAATTCCCACTCCTCTCCCACCTGACTGAAATACGTCACCCCATCATAGTATATTCCTCAAAATTGATGTACCTTGACTGCAAAAGAGATTAGAAGACAGGAAAACACAGGGAAAAGGTTGTGTGGGTGAGGGGATGAGGAGGATTCACTTGGCACGAAACCGCCTGGCGCGCACGTGACAGGCGATGGAATCACATGCCTGCTTTGACCTCTGCAATCTTCAAATGGCTTTCGTGCCATACGGTGTTCTAGGCTAGCTAAGGAACCACGCCAAGACAAGGCAGGACCCCTGTTGGTTGCTTGTGATAGCGACCCTTCCCTTTGCTAAGGTTCAGCTTCAGCAGCGGAAGGGGTCACTCGGGGAAAGGGTGCTATTTAGCAGAAAAAGGCAGCACAGTCACCTTAACACCCTCTCCACTCCCTCGTTTACATAATTAACTCCTTTGACACCCCTGAAAATGTGATATTCGTGTTTAGGAGGTCAAACTACAAAGAAGGACTCCTTCAGCGCATTTAGGGTTTTCGGGGATTCTCGCGCCAGGCATGAGCATCGAGCGGTTTCGTGCCAGACGGATGCAATATTCATGTGCAGGTGATCAAAGTATCCCTGGAGAATAATTTCCAGACAAGTCGAAGTTCGGGCCAGAACTTCCAAAAACTGGGGCAGTGAAGGGTAAATAGTGTCATTTATGTCGGACGGCAGTTCAAACTAGTAGAACTGCCTTTATGGAGTTTTTTTTTATTTTGCGATTGCGGCCCCATAGCCCTATAGCGCTAGTTACCAAATCCAAACGAAAATTTCACAGTAACGGATACGTGGCAGGCCCGGACTGCTGAACAAAAAGCGAAAACGTACCCATCTGCGCAGTGAGCTGATCAGATACTGTTCTCAAAAGATATCCCAGAAAAGGAATACGACGATGTTCTTCCTGGATATAATGAGTTATTGGCAAAATTTAAAGAACCTTGGTTTAAAGTAACAACAAGAGAACTTACTACACACTCGTATACATAGTAAATGTCCGGAGATTCCAATGCTAGTAGCGTGTGGAAAACCTTTGGATTATTGGGCCATAGCGAGCCCGAAAATACTGATTTGCAAAAGTCTAGGAGAGAGCTGTCTACTGCTAATGGTGGATCAGGTGGAACCCTAAACCAGTTGCATGTTACAAAGTAGAGTAATTTCTAATGAAAAATGATGAAATTCACATCAACTCTTCATCCAACATTGCTAAATCTATCTCCTCAAGTGAAGTGCCAGACAACGAAGCACACAATCTAGCGACGTACCTAGAATTAAGAACGATTTAGCACATGTTTTTTGATGGCACTGCTCCTCTAGTGAGGTTCTGCAACCAGTGCAAAAGGTTTAATAAGTACGGGCTGAGCCTGCGCCTTGAATGAAGGAACTAGTTCCAGGGTGAATTAGTAGTGCCATGAAAATCCCTTGGTGGAAATAGGGATTAGATTAAGACAAATCAGCATGATTACCTCAGAGGGGGTTAAAGGACGTAAAAATAGAAAGAACCGTCATGGAGATGAGAACTTTTGTCTCAAGTTAAACTGCACACTCATTTCCGTGGACAGTGGTCCTTGCCAAGTTTGGGGTGAATAAGTACACAGCTGCAGTAGCGCCTCTTTCTATGCTCATTGTGCACGGAAATAGATGGAGGGTAAACCCATGTATCGTCTCCCGACTCCACTGCACCGCCGCACGGCCAGCCACACGCCTAACCATAGCTGAACATGCTACTTGTCTGCGCCCTCTCACTTTTTGTTGTTCTCTACCACCGAGTGAACGTTTGCTGCGGGAACAGGGTACAGCATCGTTGTGTGAAACACATGGGTGGGGGTGTCGTATTTGGTCGCTGTCGAGAGGGGGAGGTCGGATAAGCCTTTGGTAGGAATTTGCCACATTGCGAAAAAAAAACTTTTCGCTCTTTTGTTGTTCGCTTTTTCCCGACGGTTTTCCCATTTTTCATTTGCTATATGGTTATATACACCCCCCCAATTTAGGGAAAAGGTAGGAAAATGTGGGAAATTTCGAAAAACTGGTGAGAAACTCGGAACTTGTAAGAGAGTGGTAGGTAAATGCTGGGGAAGGGGGATGCGGTTGTACTAGACACCCGAACCATTTCAATACATCACGGACTGCTGTACGCTGTGCGGGGAATTTGATGCAAGCGCTGCAACTTGAGGATAGCGCGGGCAAAGTATGGAGACGGCACACGGGTATCGCTACCCTACAGCCCCGTTTCCAAGCACTTTAGTGGAAAAAGTGGCACATTACTGCAGCTGGAGACCCATTCGCCTCGCACATGGCAAAGACAGGAATCCACGAAGGTGAGCGTACATTTTTACGAGGCTGAAGGTGAAGCAGTTTGGGGATGTGTAAACCAGTTCCAAGAACGGCAGTTTGTATGGGTGAGGAGTCCCTGAATTTCGCAGGAAAAAGAACCCCTCCTCCAAAGTCATCAGAACCATGAAAACCACGGGCGCACTTTCTTCTCGACATCGGCGTTACAACGGCCCCGATTCCAGGACAATTAGCGGGAACGGCACTGTCACCAACTATTATTTTCTAGCCCCAAAGTGTTGGCGAAAACAGGCCGAATCTTGATGGCGACCTTTTTCTCTCGCGGGGCACATTGGCTGAAAATTTGGGGTTTTGGGTAAATTTCACCTCGCAGAACACGAAATATCAACATCACCCACATTGGCGCCCGAAAGTGCCTGACGCCCGCGCCACAGGCGCCAGTTTTCAGGCTTTTTAGCGCACGCGCCACTAGTGCGCGATGTGGGCGGTTTCAGGCCGAGTCCGGATGTGAAATTCTTGTTCAGGATGTCGAATACCCCTTGGGCACGAAGATTAATTTTTTTTTTTTTTTTTTTTTTTCAGAGCGCGTTCAGACTTCGCGATCGCCGATCCGGAGCGCTGGCGACCTCGCTGTGATCGCGCGATCTGGATCGCGCGATCGTGCTACTGTGGGTGAAATTACACCGGGAGGGGTCATGTTCGTTCGTGTTCAACTCAACTCAACAAACAACAACAACAAAGTTCTGGGGAGTCGTACTGATATCACCATTTCTCACATCACGATGCTGTATCCTGCCTCCAATAGGCAGTTCCAAAAACGATATAAAAGTAGTTCGACCTTTTTTGATGTCTTTTATTCCGTGTTCATATTCGCAATACTGACGTTTGCAGAAACCGTCGAAAGGAAAGGTTGTGTATAGACCTGGAGGATGGCAGAACAAACAAAGCAAACACAATGTGACAAAAGTAAAGTAATATCCTGGAGAACTGGCAAAATCGGGGGAAGGGAGAGAAACAACATCACCCGCTGTTGAAAGTTCTGCGTGTCTTACTTTTGGAACAAGATGTTCAATACTCCGCTTGAACGTACTCAGATGCAAATTTAGTATAATAATTAGCATATTGTATATTTAGTACTATTTTACATAGGAAATAATAAATAACTCAAAGATATTTCGAAACGTTCCTTAAAATTAGGAGGGCGTTATGTACACAAAGGAAGAAAGAAAAAGGAAAAAAAAGAACAGGAACAATAAACATGAACGAACATGACCCCCTCCCGGTGTAATTTCACCCACAGTAGCGCGATCGCGCGATCCAGAATCGCGCGATCACAGCGATCGCGCGATCCGGATCGCGCACGATACAGCATCGGCGCGATTCGCAAACCACACGCGATCCGGATCGCGCGATCGCGAACGTCTGTACAAGTTTTCAGCGGATTTCGTGATCTAGGGTACTTTGGCGCCGGCGCCTGTGGCGCGGGCGCCAGGCGGTTTCGAGAGGAGCGGATGTGATATTCGTGTTCAGGAGGTCGAATTACCCCTAGAACCCAACTTTCAGCCAAATCTGCCCCCGTAGAAAAAAGTCGATCAAGATCCGGCCCGTTTTCGGAAAATTGGGGTAGTAATAGTTGAACAGTGCCTCGCCAACTGCTAAGCTTTGCAACTTTTGCAATCTTACATTACCCGGAATGCGAACCCACCCGGAATGCGAGAGAACTATGCTAGGTTCCACTGTCAACAAGAGATACGAAAAGTAAGAACTTCACAATAACTCACTCTGTACACTGACTGGTGTCAATGTACTTGTCAAAAGGCTCATTGTATAGAGATAATAACTGCAACCATTGTGACAAAACTGCTGGCTGAGTAACACTAATCGCGCGTAGTGACAATGAGTCAGATTCCTTTAGAAGAGTTTGCAGGGATGACGACAATTTCGGGTAGCTTTCTTAATAGAAGAATAGTAAATAGCAATAGAGGAAGGCGGGGCATCTTCTAAGCAGAAATAAACCCACCAGCTTTGAAAATATTGACCATTGTTTGAAGAAGAAATAAGATATAGTCTAAGAGCAAGTTATCAGCTTTGAGAGAAAGTGCTATACTTCCTAGCATCAAATAGTATATATTTCTACAAAACATTTTGATGAGTAAGTTCACCAAAGCTCTTTAGTGAGCAGAGCAGCTCCTACATAAAAAATTAAGAGCAAAGTGGGGAAACTGTCATG